TATTTCTCGAATTTTACATTTTACATTAATCTTACATCTGTTACCTACATCTACATCACTTCTCACGTCAACACGTTATATTAGCTCGCACCCTCCCTCTCAGAGTGTGGAGGCCACTGCAAATTAATTCCTTCATTCTGGCTATAATAAGGATCCAATCTATTCCCAATTATTTGATCTGATAAATATGGCCATTCCCTACGGAATGACATATTTTGTTTTCTCTTATCTTCTGGATACAGCATATTTTTGGACTTGTTGGGGCGGGGCGAAATTATGAAATACACTTGTAACAGTGTGAGCATACATAAGTCTGGATGCTAACGATGGTAGCCTTATCTCTTATGTGTTCTGAAAACTCGGAGCTCATAGGGACGGACAAATAGTTATGGGTATATCGACTCGGCTTTGACACTGATCCAATTGGTCTTTTTATTCGGTTATCTGATAGAAATGGCTATTTTCTACCGAATTGCGTTTTTACTTTTCCCTTAACTTAACTTAACTTTTTTCGCTCTTCTGTAGCGGCGAAAGGGGGCGGGCCGAGTACTAATATAAGAAAAACCCTTGTATCAGTGTGATATAACAGCAGTCTGCAGGAAAAATTTGGTGCCTCTAGCTCTTATAGTCTCTGAGAACTAGCCGACAAACTGAGACAGCTATTGATGCTTATCAAGAATGTATATACTTAATGGGGTCGGAAACGTTTTCTTCTGTGCGTTACATATGTACATCCACTTTTGTTCATAAATATTTACTCTTCGATTGCCGGGTATAAAAACAATAAACTGTGTATGTAGCATAAAAGCAGCATCATAGAATCAGTGTAATAAACAAACATTAACAAAAGAACATGCTTAGATACACGTATTTTCAAGATTCCTTATATTTATTTTATTTTAGGCTGCTTTGGAATACGCACTGCTAAATGGACTGTTCATTATTATTCACTGTGATTTCGTTAAACACTACGTTGAAAAACACGAGCCAAAATATTCAAAGTATATACTTAAATAATATAAAAATTCATATGATTTGTAGAAAACCAGGTTAATAAATGAAATAGATAAAGTTAAAAAATTATGTTTTTATTTATTAGATGACATCGACATCGACAATTGTGGTATTGTTATATTTACAATGTAATCAAAACACATTGCTTCTGCATTATTGTTAGATAGTTATATTGTTGGGCTACTAAGCTTTTTCAGTATCCTAGTTTTGCGAGAATATTAACGAGATGATTGTGGGTCAGTTTATATCGTGCTTATAGCTGATAATAGTATGTACTGCGATACATGCTGACGTCGAGAGTTGGTTGGTTGGTAGCTGTGAGGATATTGTCCGACGATGCAATCTCCAGTTGATTCGTGTCTTGGAATCCATCTTCTGTGGCAGCATATAGGCACGCGTATGTCAGTTGAGTGCATCCAAAATCTCCCGGTGCCTTGTTGAGCACAATAATCTCCGTAATGTGTGCTTGAAAAAATATATGTTTATTATTGAAACGCAGCAATCGAACCGAATAAAAGGCCGCATCTGAGAGACTGGAGCGAAGATGTTGAAACTTCTCGATTTCATTGAGATCTGCATCAGTAAGCTAACCATTATGATTGTATGATTTTCAAAATGGTTTGGTAGGGTGGTGGAATGAGCAGCTACGCGCAAGTGGCCTAGTTCGAGAGCTGCCAGGAACTCAGCTTTAAACCAGATGAAAAGCGTATCACAGGTCTCGCAGCACTCAAGCTGTCGATTTATTGCACGAGAATTATTCTCTAAGCCTCAGCCATTTATCAACCATCGCAATATTTCCGGCCGCGACTGTATTCGGATCTTTGTCCATGCTACCACTAAGCAAACAAAACAAAAAGTAGAACAAAAATATCCTGTGTCCCTTATATGTTTACCTGGTACTCAAAGAGCAACGATTAGGAACGTGTGAGAGGCCTCTTACGCCTCACAACTTTATACCCGGTACTTAGTCGGTATGTCCGTACCTTATTGTTTTATTTATTTATTTATTTTTATACCCGGTACTCAAAGAGTAAATATTGTATTTGTGGAGAATATCGGTTGTATTAAACGCACAGAAGGAAGCGTTTCCGACCCCATAAAGTATATATATTCTTGATCAGCATCAATAGCCGAGTCGATAGAGCCATGTCTGTCTGTCCGTCTTGTTTGTCGGCTAGTTCTCAGAGACTATATGAGCTAGAGCCACCAAATTTTGGTTTCGGACTGCTGTATGCTCACACTGAAACCAGTGTATTTCAAAAGTGAGCCACGCCCCCTTCCGCCCCCGCAAAAGGGCGAAAACCTCCCAATTCTACAGTTTTGAAGATAAAAGAAAAAAAAACGCCATTCCGTAGGAAATGGCCATATCTATCAGATCACCAAATTGGGATCCGATCGGATCATTATTATAGCCACAATGGAGAAATTAATTTCCAGTGGCTAAACCCACCCTGTCCCCCAGCTTTTGTTGCTCTTTTTACATTCTCTCATTCACACTCTGCTCCGCTTTACTCGGCCCCTGCCTCTGCCCTCCCCCTGGCGATGACTCTTCCGACTTTTAACCCACCCCGTCCCGCAGCTTATATTTGTTTTTTTTTGTGTGCGGGCGCTGCCTCTGCATCTACCGCAAGTCAGCAGTATGTTGGTCTAGGGAAGGGCGGCGAGCGTGTTGGTGTGAGAAGTGTTGTAGATGTAGATGACTTTGTAGCATTAAGCTACTGACAGAAGCTTGTTGCTATAGAACATACATGTGATATGTGAATACGATAGAGAAAGAGGAAGAACATGCATTTAATAGGTGAATATCGAAATTGAAAAGAAGAAGAGATTAAATTGAGCAGCACTTTTTATTTCGAGATTTTGATTCCGAACTGGTTGAGAGGATTTGCGGAAACAGTGGCCAAAAGCTAATTTTTAAAAGTTAAAACCAAGTCTCGGTTTTTAACGCTCTGTATTAGAAAATGAGTGACCTTCAAAGTTGCATATAAGAAATTTTCATAGATGGCGCCAATTTAGAAAAATCTGCTGTGAAACCAAGGTCATTATTGCACATAATGTGCAGGGAAAAAGTACCAATTTTATTGCTGTTTTAAATATCTCATAAATTGGAAAATACGATTAACTAATCCAATTTTTTGATGCATTTTATTTAGTAGGCTTTTTACTACGTGTTCTGTAATGTGAACGATATCTAGTGGTTGGCTATGTCTTCTACATCTTGATGGAGTCCTGAGTGCCGGATATAAAAGTTGTGACGCGTAAGAAGCGTCTCACACGTCCCTTCTCGTTTTTTTTAGGTTTTATGTTACCACTCTACCCTTGGGTAGAGGGGAATTATTTGGCCGCCCGCCTTTACAAGGTGGAAATCGCCACGCCGAGATATGTAACTTGTTCCAGTTTTACTTCAATACTTACCTGGCGTAGAGGTTATGATAGCATTCGCGCGGCAATATATTGACAATTAAAAACTTGTTTTATTTTTAACATTGGTTCTACAAATGTCATCTACATATGTATATTTACATCTACATTTTTTCACGCCAACCCGCTTTTTTAGCTTGCTCCCCTCCCTTACAGCCGCACGCAGCACGAAGGCGTGGCCATGGTCTTTATAATCTAAGGTCTAAGGTACGTTATGTGAAAAAAGAAACCGCTACTTCTAAAAATAACAATAACAAAAAATACCAGTTTTTTAAATTCTTAAAAAAACGAGAAGGGACGTGTGAGACGCTTCTTTCGCGTCAAAACTTTTATACCCGGCACTCAGTACAACATCTGCACCTTAGCGGTGTTTTGTCAAATTTTACATTTTTTCTTCATCTGTCACCTACATCAGCAACACTACTCACACCAACACGCTCCTTTTGTTTGGTGGCTCTAGCTCTTATAGTCTCTGAGAACTAGCCGACAAACAAGACGGACAGACAGACATGCCTCTATCGACTCGGCTATTGATGCTGATCAAAAATATATATACTTTATGGGGTCGGAAACGCTTCCTTCTGTGCGTTACATACAACCGTTTTTCGCACAAATACAGTATACCCTATTTACTCTTCGAGTACCGGGTACTGCCCTATTCTTTCAGGAGGCTATTCTTGAGGAAAAACGAGAAGGGACGTGTGAGACGCTTCTTACGCGTCTTTTTGTCAAATTTTAAATTTTTTCTTCAGATGAAGAACACATCTACATCTAAACACTTTTCACACCAACACGCTTCTTTAGCTCGACGCCCTTCCCTAGACCCACACACTGCAGACTCGCGGCAGAGACAGAGGACGAAGCAGAGTGTGAATGAGAGAATGTAAAAAACCAAAAAAATCTGCGGGACAGGGTGGGTTTAGCCACTGCAAATTAATTTCTTCATTCTGGCTATAATAATGATCCAATCGGATCCCAATTTGGTGATCTAATAAATATGGCCATTCCCTACGGAATATTCTAAAATTTCTTTTATCTACAAAATTGTAGGTTTGGGAGGTTTTCGCCTTTTGCGGGGGCGGGGCTCATTTTTTAAATACACTTGTAATAGTGTGAGCATAGAACCTGCTTTTATGGTCTCTGAGATCCAGGCGATCAATAAGACGGATAGACGGACATGGCTCATTCGACTCGGCTATTGATGCTGATCAAGAATATATATACTTTATGGGGTCGGAAACGTTTCCTTCTGTGCTCTACATACAGCCACTTTGTGCACAAATACAATATAGCCCATTTACTCTTCGAGTACCGGGTATAAAAAGTTCGATTTTGTCGAGTAGTTTAATTACTATTAATACTATTAGCCACAATGCAAAGTATTACTACTAGCCATGGCTACTGGCTTGTGGCTGACTTGGGTTTCACATCGCTTTTATTAATAAGGTGAATTTTCATCCGTGAATTATTGCATGGTTAATTTCTTTGTCGGGAGGGAGGTGAAAAAATGCTTTAATGGATTACAAATCAATTTAATCATATATTTGAGAAATGTAATACATTATTCATTTATATTTGTATCATTAATATTATAAGTAAATATGTTAAATCAATAAACAGTTGAAAATATGAAAGGCTTAGTCTAAATCATCTCCTCCAGTTGTTGGTAAAAGCCAGCACAAAAAGGCACTTGCTGTAAAAATTTTAATGTTTTAGATTTTATATTTTCTAATTACATTTGGGTAGTGACATCATTTAGTACTTACTGAACAGCATACCCGAAAAAAGAACTATTGGTATTATGCAGTTTAGATCAATGAGAAATCCGAATATAAGGTTACCCAATAAGGCTCCTCCACGTCCAAAAGTCATGGACATGGCCGCGGCCATTACCCTAAATGGGATATTTTTCATTGGTGTAGTTTTATTTAATTTATTTTAAGTTGCAGGATAGCTATACCTATTTTACGAATATTTACATATGGGACTTAAGTAAGGGTTCCAAGAAACATTACATGTGTTCACTAGCCTTCCTCCCTAACAAGGGAAACCCCAGTTCGCCTGTAATGGTGGTTTTGGTTGTTGAAACTGCCTATGTTGTAGTGGGTGTTATTGTGAATATATTTATAGGTAAGTATAGAGTTATTTGCGAAACCTCGAAAAATATTCATACATTCAGGCAATTTTGAAATTCTTCGTAGCGATTTGGTGGAGGTTTGGTTAAGAAAACGTCGCAGCGTCGACTGCAAAGAATTTCTAACAAATACGGTCGGGGTCTTCTCGTCCTGCACGAGCTGTCTACTAGGTGGAGGGCCTAGCTCAGGGAGACTGGCGTGGATTTTGTGCCGTCTCCATACTTGCGTTAAAATATTAAAATAGCAGACAGAGAAAAGGGAGAGCCAGCCGATAGAGGATTGAATAGATAACACTACTCGACACGATATTGCCGCTTCGATCCAGACCAACTTTTTATGAACGATATAGGGCTTACAAATGGTTTGATGCAAATATTTTATTTTTCTATTGCAGAACTTTTTATACCCGGTACTCAAAGAGTAATACGGATGTGCGAATAACGGTTGCGTTTCCGACCCCATAAAGTATATATATTCTTGATCAGCATCAATAGCCGAGTCGATAGAGCCTTGTCTGTCTGTCCGTCTTGTTTGTCGGCTAGTTCTCAGAGACTATAAGAGCTAGAGCCACCAAATTTTGCATCCAGACTGCTATATGCCCACATTGAAACCAGTGTATTTCAAAAATGAGCCACGCCCCCTTCCGCCCCCGCAAAAGGGCGAAAACCTCCCAAAACTACAGTTTTGAAGATAAAAGAAAACTAAACTAAACTAAACACCATTCCGTAGGAAATGGCCATATCTATCAGATCACCAAATTGGGATCTGATCGGATCATTATTATAGCCACAATGGAGAAATTAATTTCCAGTGGCTAAACCCACCCTGTCCCCCAGCTTTTGTTGGTCTTTTTACATTCTCTCATTGACACTTTGCGTCTGCTTCATTTTTCCCCCTGCCTATGCCCTCCCCCTAGCGTTGACTCTTCCGACTTTTAACCAAGACTCGATTTTTAACGCTAGATGGCGCCACTTTCGAAAAATTTGCTGTGAAACCTATCGGTCATTATTGCACAGAATGTGCAGACCATTGGACCATCAAAGTTGCGTACAAGAAATGTTCATAGATGGCGCCACTTTCGAAAAATTTGCTGTGAAACCTATCGGTCCAAGAATGTACCAATTTTATTGCTGTTTTAAATATCTCATAAATTGGAAAATATTAACTGATCCAATTTGTTTGATGCATTTTATTTAGTCGGCTCTTACTACGTGTTCTGTAATGTGAACGATATCTAGTGGTTGGCGATGTCTTCTACATCTAGATGTAGTCCTGAATGCCGGGTATAAAAGTTGTGACGCGTAAGAAGCGTCTCACACGTCCCTTCTCGTTTTTAAAGAATTTGTAATCTGGTATTTTTTTTAAACTTTTTTTTAGATTTTGTGCTTCTTTTTTCAAACAACTCAAGTATCTTACATCTGGTTGCATCTATAAAGTATACCCAACACTATTTTTTTTAGCTTACCGTTTGGGAAATATTAAGCTTTGAAATAAAAATAAATAAAAGGTACATTTTCTGGATTTTTTCATTTTTTTAGAGTTGATGGACACACAGTGGACATATGTACATGTATGTATGTATGATTATTTTTTCGACTTTTCCCGAGTTTTTCAGTTCAACATTTATACAACTGTCACCTACTTCTACAATATTTCTCACGCCAACACACGCTTTTAGCTCGGCACTCTTCCAGAGAACCACACACTGCACGAAGCAGAGTGTGCGAGCGAGAGAGAATGAGCAGAATATGAACAAAGCAGCAGGAACGTGTGGGAGGCGTATGAATGTCAGAAATATTCGTGATTTGGTGCCTCTAGCTATTATAGTCTCTGAGAACGAATCGTCAAATAAGACGGACAGACAGACATGGCTATATCGACTCGGCTATTGATGCTGATCAAGAATGAATATACTTTATGGGGTCGGAAACGTTTACTGTCTTTAAATTTGTATACTATCTAAACTTTGAGTAGCGGGTATAATAGAAGACCCAGTATATAGATTCTCTTGACTTTCCCTGACACAAAAAAAAAGTTTAAAGCTTAATATTTCGCAGACGTCAAGCCAAAACCATGAAAGTGTTTTGTATACCTTTAAGTTGCATTCATCAGATTTTTGTAATGAAAGATATGTAAGATTGACAGATGTAAGATACTTAAATTATGGAAATAAAGCGTTACCTATAAAAAAGCTTAAGAAAAATAGCAGTTATTAAAAATTCTTTAAAGTAAAGTCCTTCAATAAAAAAAACTTTAATGTTTGAAAATAATTGAAAGCTCTCAATCTATCAGAGGAAGTCGTTTTGGCTCGAAGCGTAAATAAAAAGATCAATTTTGTCAGGTAGTGTTATTGAAAGCTCTATCAGTCGCGTTTATTCATTGTAACCAAAGTGCTTAAATTGTTGGGTCTTTGGAGCACCTCTTTTCGGCTGAAGCCCCACTTTGTAACTGTTTATACCCACCCCTTCCATTGGTAGTATAAATTAATGGATGTATGTATGGTGGGATGTAAAGTGTATCTCCCTTGCAGTTTAACAGACCATTGTTAAGTGAATGCGATTTTCTAGTGTGAATGAGTTCCTTTTATATACTTTCTTTTTAAATAGAGTGATAATTGAGTACCTACCTCAAATTTGTTGGGAATAAATCCACTAAAACGCAATATAATGTACTTATGCTAAGCGATGTAAGTGCTTCAAAAATGCATGACAAAATTAAGTTTTCAAAAGAGTTTCGAACGAAATAAAACCCTAAAGTAACAAATCCTGCCGCAGTCAAGCTGAAAACTAAAAAAAAAAGATTTTTGTTTATTTTGTAGTATATTTTTATAATAAACGAACATCATTTTTTTACATACCTAAAAAGAACTTAATTCCCAATTTGTGAACACATAGTGGTAGCCAGAAACTTGTCGGTATGCAAGCCAAACCAATTATAAATGTATGAAAAAACACTGTATGATCGATTTCCGACTGGCAGTCTACAAAGGTTCTAAATATAAAATTAATAATATAATTGAAAAAACAATCGGAAAATGATTTTTATATCCGGTAGTGGAAGTCTAAAAAGGGTACATTGTATTTGCGGTCGAGAAATGTAACACAGAAGTAAACGTTTCCGACCCTATATATACATATATACATATATAGGATATACATACATTATCAATAGCGGAGTCATTTTCTGACCGTCGTCTGTCCGTTCTGATGAGCGCCCAGTACTCAGACGCCATAAGAAATAGAACATCCAAGTTTTGCATCCACAGTTCTTTAATATCACAAGTTGCAAGTATTTCAAAATTTCGTCCGCCACATTCCGTCCCATTCAAAGACATTCCGTCCCTTCAAAGGCGAAAATCTGCGACATCCTCAATTTTAAAGAAATGTGTAAACCAAAAAAATAGTTACGTAGAGAAAAGAAACATCTATTGGATTCACGAGTAGATTAAATCATTATTATAGCCAGAATGAGGAAAATCATGTCCAGTGGCTACCCCCCACCTCCTCCAGCAGACAACCAATTTTTGCCTATTCTCGCTTGCTCGCACACTCTGCCTCGTGCAGTGTATGGCTTTGGTGAAGTGTGGCTGCTAGAAGGGCGAGTTTGTGTGATAAGTGATGTAGATGACAGATGAAGAAAAAATGTAAAATTTGTAATTCGCAAAAATTCGAAACGTTATGACGAGTCTCACAACGTTCCTCCTCGTTTGATCTTCAGGTGAAAGAAAAAGAGACATCAAGTTTCTAGTGGGTCTAAAAGGAATTGGCTTTGCGGCTCAACAAGTCAGGGCTATCTACCCCACCCTGGATCAAGTTGTACATACAAATTATACCAAGCATTTTTCTACAACTAACTAAGGATGGAAGGTTTATTGAAAGTATTCTACTACGGTAGGGTAACAGCAGTCTCACATTTGCATACCAGTTGAGGCCACGCAAAGAAAAAGTTGTTGTCTACCGATACACGACGGAAGTGACATATGTTCTAAGGGCACCATACACATGAGCCGTTTTCTAAAATCAGACGAAAAAGCGATATATAAGAGAGTCTTGGTTATACAGTGGTCATCAAGCTCTACTGACCACCTCTTTATAACCCAGGGATCGGCACCCAAAGGACCCCTAAAATACATTGATATTGGTACTAATCGTGTACGTGAGCTGCATCGCAGCGGCAGAGCCTTGTCCTTTGCAAAACAGATAGGGCAGTGCCGAGGCCTATAATAAACCCAAGCGCGCCCTTGGCTATTTACCTTTATTTACCATGGTAAAAATGTGTTCAGAATCCTTTATCTTGGGGGGGTCTAGTTTAACACCAAGATCATTAACCAATTTAATGCTATCAATTCTTACACAGAAATTCCAGTCCTGTGAAACATCCACTGTGAAAAGGAACGACGTGAAGTGAGAGTGTACTGCAATCAGGACACCTCCTTTACGCCGAGGAGAGCGTATTCCCATAACACTACCCGACACGATTATTCCGCTTCAAAACAAACTAACTTTTTTTTTGAAAGATATGGGGGTTTGAAATGGTTTGATGAAAATTTGTTGTTTCTAAGGCAGAAAAATTTGCTTAGTTTTTTTTAAATCTGGTATTATTTTTTAAAGTTTTTTTTAGAAGTAGCGTATCCTGTTTTCACATAACTTAAGTATCTTACTTAATGAACTTTGCCATTTTATTATGAATGATGAATGCATCTATAATGTATACTCAAACACAATACACAATAAAATAAAGAACTCAAAATATAATATTT